GGTTGCAATTTGCTTTCTCTTTATCATTTATTTATTTCAAATGGCGGGCGTTTTGATAGCTATCATTAGCCATTTAGCTAACTTCGGGCTTCACAGAGGGAAGGTTCATCAAAGTAGAAGAAAGTCGAGGGATGAGGAACAGAAGAGCGATTTACAGATGTAAAAGAGGCAGACAGACACAATGGTAGAGAAAAAAGCAAGATGAGTACTGTGGAAAGGGTCGAATATGACAAGCAGTCGGGCCATGGTAGTTTGAAATCAGAAGTCAGCTGCCGGTTAATAGACTTTTTTGCCGTATGAGTTTACGTTGCTCAGGGTGCACCACGTGGAAGTAAGTCTATCGCACACCCCTTCTCTTTATCATAAAAGTAGCTAACACTGTGTTTGCTCTGAAGTACTAACATATGTCCTATTCACTTGAGAACAAAAGGAGGCAAGGTTTCTTTCATTTTGAACACTTATTTGGATTGTCCATTAGCTGACTTCAAAGTTCCTTTGATTTTCCACAAAAGAATGAAATGATTATTATTTGAAATTCATTCTGCCTGATGGCATAGAATATTTGATATTGCCCCCTATCAACAGTTGCCGGGGGCTTTTATGTAAAACTAATAATTGGTCGTATTAACATTTTAGATCAACGATGCCAGCGTAAGCTGGGCAATGGGCTATACTATTGATGCCACTGGGATGATAGAGAGCGCCTCACCCCAGATAAGACTTGAATTAAAAGCCTTTATAGCCTCTGTCGTCGTTCTCAGCATAATATTTATCGTTTTATTGGGACTTCTACTCTTCATAATTTTACGAAAGTAATTCCTTCGACATCTCTCCCTTCCACTTCCAAACTCTGAATTCCTCTCCAAATCCACAGAGAACTCTGAGATCCCAAGACTCCAACAGTTTTTGCCCTCCCCATCCTTTGTGGAACCTACTTGCTTTTTACTTCCAAAAACCGGGTGTGTATTTTTCAAATATATGAAACAGACTAACATTTGAACAATTGGTGTGTGTGTGTGTGTGTTGAATTTTAATTTTTGGATGCAGAATAAACTACTTTGAGATAAAATTCTCCCTTCCTTTATTTTGTTAATCACCGCACCTTAAATTATTGGGATTAGGGTTAAAACGCAGTTTTGAGGAGGACTGTGATTGGCTGTAACCCACTACTTGGGGCGAAAATACAAATATTGAATTTCTTGCCGCCATAAATATCTCTTACAGCTTTAGATACATCGGTGCTTCTTTATTCCCCCTCCCCCTCCCCCCCCCCCCCCCCCCCCCCCCCAATATACTAAAATAATATTTAGTTTTCCACATATATGCCATTAAGAAATTATTGGAACAAGGTTGAAGACTTGTAGTGCAGTACTACTACAGATTCAAAGAAAGTGGGGCACCTTGTTTCTTCATTAAAATAAGAAGAAGGGCCCTTCTGAATTTGTAATTGTCGGTAAATGATAACCTAATAGGGGGTTGGGTGGGAAAGCTGGAATTTAGGTCTTGCTACGTAAGGGAACATGCTGCGTACTTTAAATTAGATTATGAAAGGGCTGATATTTGGTTTTTAAATTATTAGCTGTTAATTACTGCAGATTTAATTCGAATTAACATTAATCTAAAATGGAGCTCGATGTTGTACCTTCTATCCTGTTTACTGTGGCTACGGTTACTCAAACCGACAAGAATAATGAAAATGAATCTTTATGCAATGATGTCTTCTCTCCATCGTCATTAATGTATTAAGTATTCATTTTGATACAAAAATGAGGGCATGATTAGTTAGTAGAACAGCATTTAGGTTTCGCAAAGGGCGACAATCAGGAAATCCAATTATTCAATAGTTTCCTTTGAATTCTCCTCATGGTTTAAAATTTCCGATGTTTTTTTTCAATCTAATGCAAAGTAGAGATCAGTAAGAACAATGATGTATTTACAATTTTTAATAATGGAAAGGTCATTCGCACTCTGCCCTGATATTTGAGATTTGACGGTAGCTCAAATTCCTATGCTCAAATATGCTTTCTACTAGGAAATCTAATCTGCCTTTGGGAGATTAATCATCCACCTTCCGTCGGGTTAAACAAGGTCACTCTGTGTGGCTGGCTGCAAAAGTGCCTTAGAAAAACAAGGTCATCGCATGAACATTACTCCCCTTCCTCCTCTCAAAACCTTGGGATATGCAGAAATCATCGTACGCCTTCACTTATCGCCGCAGGCTAATCCCAAAAAAATTTTTTTTACAATGCACTGTTATTGCTGAGCCTATATAAATTTAAAAAAGGCAAAGTTTTATATAAGATACAAGTTGTATACGGTGGATAAATTGAGTCTAATTGTATGATAAATGGAGGAGGTTTTATTGGAGTACAAGAATTCAATTTAGGGCTCAACAGTGATAACATATGCTCCAATCTACACTTTTTATCATGAAATAGGGCATCTTATCTACTGTGTGGGAATGGGCTTTTGCTATTGAGCAGAGAATTGTATTGTTTCTTGTACATATACTTACCTTTTGAAAACACAAATTTTACAAACCCATTCTAATGCCAGAAATTAGTGGATTTTTCGATGGGATTAATCAATTCTTCATTAGAGTAATGGAGTGGAGTATTTATTTATATCAGATGGTAGGCTTTATGATAGCTATCATTTGTCTTTTATTTAACTTCGGCCTTCAAATAGGGGAGGAACATTTATTTATTTATTTCAAATGGCAGGCGTTTTGATAGCTATCATTAGCCATTTAGCTGACTTCGGGCTTCACAGAGGGAAGGTTCATCAAA